GGGTGAGGCAATCAGTTATCACTTGACTGATGAACAACTCAAGATGAGTAACATTGAGCTAGGCAAAGAATTCAACTGCTTTGGGGAACATGGAATTAAGCTGATAAGACAAAAACCTTATCAACTAATATTGTGATGGGTACCCCTTCCTGGCCTCCCTTGAGGAGAAAGTAAATATAAGATAGTTACAAGGCTGTAACTATCAAGGCTGTAGCATTCATGCAGAACACCAGTCAGAATTATCAGAAGAACTGGGAAATGTTTGATATTTTCAATATCACTGCATTTGTTTACATTCTATGACCCACAGTTGGAGTATATATTAAAGATGATTTTTTAGGATATTAACAAATCTGATATGAAAGTAAATCCAATCATTCTAGCTTGTAAAACAGTTTTGAAGTAATGTATGTGTGACTTTAAATGTGCATGGGGAAGAAAAAGGATTATGTTTCTCAGTAGAATTCCCCCCTTTCTCAATTTTAGCAGAGAGAATGTTTCTTTTTATTCTTTATAGTTCAGAAATATAGTCAAGAACAGCACTGGCCTTTCTTTCTTTTTGAATTATCAGTAGGCCATATTTATGTCACAATCCTAAATGGTTACCCGAGACTAAGCCCTCTTGAGTATTTTGAGAATATTTGTTCTAACAGTATTTCTATGTTATGTCTAGCTTAATTCTTTGAAAACTATTTTAATTCTTTGAAAGCTAACAACACTACCATAATTGTTCTAAGATCTGAAATGTGAACTTGGGCTATCTGCTGAGCTTACATGGGACATGACTGACATTTATCATGCTTTGAATCCTGGTATATTCCTATAGGTAGAAATATTTGCCATCATCTGTTCTCTCATTTTAAATAACTTTGATCATTTCATCAATAGGACATGAACTAGGTCTTGTATCTATAAATCAAACCAAATAGTGTCTTGTAATTTATTATGAAGTTTGCATATCAGATTTGCTAGAATCAGCTAGTTACACCTAAAACCATCTGAAGAAAAAGACCAAAAACAATCTCAGGAATTCAAGAAAAGGTTCCTCAATAGAATGTCCATTCAGTTTCTATTAAATGTCTAGTCACTGGATAAAGATGTAGTTAACGTGAGACAGAGACAATAAGAGCTGGCTTGTGTATAGGTATATAAATGAACGTACAATTTTAAACAAAATAATTTCACAATACCTTTGCAAATATATACTAGGGACATAAAATAGAGGCTACCCGAACTGTAAGGTTGCCACCAGTTAGGGAATTTTGCATTTCCTACAGCTAATGTTTATCTGTTCAGGACAGTGTCTGTTAGAGCAATAGAAGAAACTGTTTTATCTTAACAGTGGTAATTTCAGGTACGTTTCATAAAGCAGACATGTCCACAAGGCGGGTGGGGTGGGGTGTGTACTTTCAATGAGCTATTATTAGGCATGTAAGGCTCAGTCAGGGGTTTTTCCCCCTGATCTGAGAAATCTGACAGAAGGAGTTCTCCCAATGTGCACTACCAGTATCTCTTTTGTCCATAAGTATTTGTACCAAAGGAATGCAATAACACCCTACATAGCAACAAAGACCTTAACTTAAGCTATATTGTTAATCAGGATAGTTTTATTAAAGGTGCTTTGAAGTTTGTGTGTGTGTGTGTGTGTGTGTGTGTGTGGTTGGGTACAGCAATATTCAGCAAATGAATACAGTATTCACACCTAATTCCTAAGCTGGAGCTTCTGGCCAAGGCCAGAGCTGATGGACAATTAGGAAAAACTGCTTAGATTAATTCCGACAAGAGCATATTTGATTTTAAGTTGACCTGATGGGGTAGAAGGGGTAATCTGATTGTGTTTAGAAGTTGAAAACTGTAAAGATGAAGCAGGATGAGCATTAATGGGATTCCAGATCCACCACAAAATATTACTTGTGGTGGATCTGGAATAAAAATAGAAAACTGTGATACTCTTAGGCAATCATGGTCTTAATATTCAGAAATAATAAGTATGTGAGGCATTTACCTCTATATTATAGGACTAACTAGTCATGAACAAGCACTTTTCTCCTTAACTTTCATTTCTACAAAATGTTATAGGCTTCCACTTGATTTATACATTAATCATGGGAAAAGAGCAGTTCTTCAAAGAAAGTAACTGTTAAGTAAACAGCTACTTCCTTTGCATTTTTCTTTTAATGTATATTTTGTATGTAACCCTCATGAAGAAATCACTTAGGAAAACTGCAATAAACGGTCACTGCTTAGTTTTGTTTTAAGATGGAAGCATGATCCAGCCAAATTTAATATATTAATATTAAATTCTATTGATTCCAATGGAAAAAAAATTAAGTATGAAGAGAACCAATGCTTATCTTGGATTGAAGTGTGCTGTTTTTCTTCAGTGGAAAACTAATTTCCACTGAATGTTTGGCCAGTAAATGTTGAAAGTCAAATTCAGATATTCATGAATAAATGCCACAAAAATTAGGAGAATATATTTAAAAGTAAATCAGTTTAGTCTCAAAGCCACTAAATAGGGAAGATCTTCTTCCTTCTAATAAAGTTTCCATCTTTTTACCTTCCCTCTGATTCATGGATTTGTAAGTTTAGACAAACCAGGTGGAGAATGTTCAGTGATCTTTAATCATATTTTCTAATTTGTTTAATGTAAAAATTAAATGAATTAAGCCTCAGAAGAAATGCCTGCAAATTTGTTTCTGAGTTGACAGCTGTGACCTAAACCAGAGTGCTTGCAAAATACTAATTCCAGGAAGTTTGTTTCCCTTGTAACTTCACGACTGGTGGGAAAGAAAGGATAGGATGGGATCTATCTCTTGCAGTTACCAAGGCTTTTGGTACATTTGCTTTCTGACATGGAAGTAAGAAGTGGAAAGAGAATAAAAGTGGTGGTGGGGGGGGGAGAAACAGTTGATCCAAACCAAGAGCACAATCTAGGGGAGGTGCTCCTACTCATTAAATAAATGAATATGTCCTATTCTTCCATGGCTCTCATAATAACAGAAAAAACTTCTGCATCCTCTTTCCTATAGTGGTCTATGGGAACTCTTGTTTGTTATATGAGTCCAGTTTCTTGTATTCAAATGCATACCGCTAGATGTGTATGTTCCCTTTATGTCTCATGTCTAACACCCATGGTTAGATAGATGTAATCTCCATATTCACCATTAATGTAAGTGGAAGTTGCTTTTAGCCATGTACAGAAATGGACTAATTAGAACTGAGCCTGCATTCAACTATTTGTATACTTCCTGTCCATTTATTTTAAAGAATATTAGAAGAGCATGGAATAAGTTAGCAAGGAGGTGATAGACATCTGAGTAAATATGAGTAAAAATGATGCTAATAAAAAAGAATGTAAGAAAGAAGAAGAGAGAGAAAAAAGCAGGGAGCAGGAGGAAGAGGAGGAGAAGGCTGCAGCATATTTGTCACTCTTCAATTTGCTAATAGCCACAAATAAAGTTCCACAGCTTTCAGAAAGCATGCAAAGTTTGAAGCTTTGTGATATGAATACCTTGTGCCTCCATATAGCTGAACAGCACCACCTAGCTTTTAAATAAGGGTGTTTTATTCCTGGCAAAACTGTTTGCAGGAGATTGCAACATAAATTACCAATAACATCTTTAGTTAAAAGAAACCAACAAACCAATCAACAAACAATAAATCCTATACCACATTATGAAAACAGCCATCAATAGATAAAAAAAAGTGCTCCTCAGGAAGGAAATGCCAGCATATAAAACTAGATTTCAAGTACAGTTTAAAAGGGATCAAAAACTCTACATCAGAGAAGGGGGAATTCCATAGCATTGGAACCGTCATGGGGAAGGCTCTTGTTCTAATGGATTCCAGCCAGATCTCCTTCCTGGGTGGCACCCTCTGAAGACCCTTAGTTAAAGAGTAGAGGGGTATATTTCCTCTAGGTAGGCATATCTCAAGCCATATAGTTGTTTGTATGTTAAAACCAGCTCTTTGAACTTGACTCAGAAAACAGTGGATAACTAGTGAAACTGAACCAAGACTGGTGCCAGATGTTCTCAACAAAGAATTCTGGACAAAAGTCTGGTTGTTACATTCTAGACCCATTACAACCTCTGTGTTTTCTCCAAGGGCTTCTTCATTTAAAGCACATTATAATAATCTATTCAGTGGTAGCCAGACCATAAATCACAAGGACCAGGTTGGCTTTATCTAAGGAGGATGAAGTTGGTAAACATAGCTGATATAAGGCACCCTTCATCAAGAAGGACCCCAAGCTGTGGGCCTGCTACTTTAGGGAGAGTGCAATCCCATCCAGGACAGACAACGCCCCCCCCCCTTCAATTGGACAGAATTGATACTGGCCATCAATCTGCACAGACTTTAACTTCCCATAGAAGGCACTTCTATAAAAATGGCAACATGACTAAATAGGCCCTGTGTCTAATACATATCAATCAAATGAATTTAATGGGGACAACTCAGAAGGGTCTTTGGGATTATCTTAAAGTCTGAGTATGTTCATACTATCATTGTTTCTGCTCATCTTGATGAAAAAGATTATTTTGATTTTTTTTCCCAAAAGAGAAGAAAACTTTGGTGAAATCCTCATAGGTAGGGTACAGGATTCCTAAATCCGCTTAGTTATGAAGTACACTATTTTCAGCTA